TGTCCTTCTCCATTCCTTCATTCCCTGCACCCCTAAACCATCTACTGGGTTGCTGTTGAGGAACTTAAATTAAGTTACTATATTGGGGAAACCTTATTATTTTATATATATATATATATATCCATTATGGTAACTTAATTTAAGTTCCTTAACAGCAACCCAGTCTAGTTTCTGATCTTTTCTCTGTTCCTCCATTCCCTCCTATCAACCAGCAAGACGCGTCGAAGCGGCAGCTGTGAAGCTAGCAGCGCCAACAAGTAGTCAGAATCGAGGCCTTCAGGCTCTTCCGAAGCCGAATACAAGTGGGTTTAGGGTTTAGGGTATTTTAGGGTTTAGGGTATTTTAGGGTTTAGGGCTCAAGCTTTAGGGTTTAGGGTTTAGGGTATTTTTAGGGTTTAGGGTTCAGAGTTATAGGGCTGGTGCTGTAGCAACATGGTAGGAGCCTAAATGATTTTAATGGGGTGTTAGGGTGCAATAACCATGAGTAGATTATGGTCATCAGACCTGAAGCGCCTAGTATCCGGCTTTCGTTCTTGCCTTTGTCGCAGGAATGCCCTTTTCCCTAGGGATCCAAATAGCCCAATGTAGGTAATATTTACAAACTTTAGGGCCCAATGTAGGTATTTTTTGTATACATGGATCCCTAGAGTTTCAAAGGAGTTCTAGATGCTAATATCGCTATGAATCGGCGTTTCTCAAATCAAGCCTGAAGTATGTAGTCACGCCTGCAGTCACCTTAGAATCCTATCTCCCGAGGCTCACCCAAGTACTGGTTTAGGGTTTAGGGTTTAGGGTTTTGGGAAACCCTGTGTGTCCCGCAGAAGTTGCTGACAAGACGTTGGCTACTTCAGCAGGCAAGTAAACGAGCAAGCCAGCAAAAAGGTAACAACTGAGATCGCCGGCTTAGGGTGACATGGCCGTCGGGGATTCGGTATGATTCGGTATGTAAGACTTATATCTTAGGTGGACCCCCCACCCAGTAATAGTGACTATTATGGATAATAGGGATTATATTCGGGTCCTCTTATATTCTCATTATACCACTATTACAGGGTGTGGGGTCCTCCTAACTTATATCCCAAGAACACAGCTAGTAGGAAAGGTCAGCTAGTGCATGTGACCATTGCATAGGAAGGGCCATAAGCGCAGGTGTGGACAAGTTCGCCAGCGGAGAGTGGCACTCATACATGAGCTTGCTGGTTGTCATTAGCAAACGGACGAAGGGATCCCGATAGTAGCCCCTACACAATCCCCAATGATGCGTAACTAGTGGTTCCTCTAAATCCTAAACCCTAACCCCGAAATTCTAACCCCTAAACCCTTACCTCTAACCCCTAAAGCACTCCCTACTAACAACCAGCGAGTCTAAAGTGCAGGCCTTATCCGCTCCGAAGCATCTCTGAAGCTCCAAGATTCTAGGAAACCGATGATTAGGGCTTAGGGATTAGGGTTTCGGGTTTAGGGGACGACAATACCATCTAAAGAGCAGTGTAGATCCGTAAGCTGGCATAGTCCTCTGGCTGTTGCGCCATGGCCGGTGTTGAGACCCAGGTGGCAGATGCTTAAAAAATGGGTGTTCAGGTTTCGGCCACAGGGTGAGGTTAAGGGTTTAGGGTTTGGGGCATCAGAGAAGAAGTCCTAGCTGGTGAGTTTTTTACCAGCACTATACTATTCCCTAGCAACCTTCACAGAAGTATGGTAGCATGTAACCAAAGCCTCACGTAGTCTAACCTTAGGCCGCTACTTTACACCGTGGTGTACAGTACACGTCCGGGATCTCAGCAGCAGGTGGCGGTGGCGGCAGCCAGCGCAAACGCCGTCGCCAGCAACGTGGGTTCCGAAGACCAAGAGGCGAGAAAGGAGCTGTTTGCTTTCATCGGGCTTATACTGGGTTGCCGTTAAATTACGTTACCATAATGGGTATCCCAAATCCCTAGTCTAGCCCGGTATAAGAATATTAGGGCCTGTTAGGGGTTGCGGGGGGTTATCGTTTGCGGGCTCTAAACGGCTATAAACCTTTTGATTGCTTGATGCATGCTTGGGAGAGCCTCAGGGATGAGGTTTAGGGCAACAGGTTTACGGCATGGAATCTGGAATAAAACTGCTTTGCATTTTAGGGTTTAAGGTTTAGGGTTTAGGGAATCTTTGAGTTTTATCGTATGTTTCATCTTAGCAGCTTGCTTGTGTCCAGCAGCGTACGTTCAAGAGGTCTGTCACTATAGAGGTGAGAGTTGTGCTCATTTCCCTGAAGGGTCCAAGTACCCAATCCAAGGGCCTTCAGGCATTTAAAGCACCAAGATTTTACGGCATGACTGACATGCAGGCGTTGCATGGATGGCACCTGTCAAAGAAGGAGGCGCGACAGGGCATGAACCGTCATGCACACACGCTGGGTGTTTTGGAGAGAGTTTGCATTAATCGTCAAGACAGTCCATCACTAAACAGGTTGCAGCAGGGAAGACGGACCAACAAGTCTAACTTCCCCCACCCCCTCCTCCAGGCGGAGCACATTTCGGAGATGGCGGACATGTACAAACATTTGGGGATCACCCCCTACCCTCCAGAGACTGGCTTGCTAATGAACTCAGATTAAGTTACCACATGCACCCATACTATGGCAACTTAAACCTAAACCCTACATAAGTTCCTTAACAGCAACCCAGGAGATTGCACCATTCAAGATCGACCAATCCCATGGCATGCTTGGGAACTACTTTCGAGCATCCTTCCCCGAACCTCGACCTTACGTAGGGATCTTAAGAGTTGAGGTTTCAGGATTAGGGGTTTAGGGTTTGGGTTTAGGTATGTGGGGTTTTATGTGGGGTTTACGGCTTATACCGGATTTATACGGGGTTTAGGGTTAGGGTTCGCCGTTTAGGAAAGATCCCAGGTTTGGGGTGCACAGTGTTTAGCCCTCCTAAGATCTCAGGGCTGAGCTTTAAGGCCTGGGGTTGGGGGCTTGCTATGGATTATACGGGTTTGAACCCTAGACCCCGAAACCCTAAACACTAAACCCTAAAGTGTATAGAGTAATGGCCTTCAAGGCTCTTTCTCAACATTTTTAGGGTTTAGGGTCTAG